TAATTCTACTTTTAAAATGGTCATAATATAAAACTGTCAATAAATAGAACAAGTTTCCTTAGTGATATCAGGTATTCATTCAACACTTACTATTTAACACACTTATTTTTCCACAAATTTTCTCCTTATTCATAAGCTGTAGCTCCTTGTTTTATTATAAATGTACTGGAACTAACATGATAAATATTTATCCAAGCCTACTTCCTCATATGTGATGGTATGAACGCACTAATAGCTAATGCTTAGAGTAAAATCTCAATACTTGAAAACCACTATGGAAAGAATCAAGCTACAAAGAATCAGTCCATATACCTGATGGTTTGGCTATGTAAGCATCAACACTTGTTTTTGCACAGAACACTTTCAGAAATGAATTAGATAATTCCCACATTCTTAAACAAAATATCCTAGATATAACTGTTTTCTTGCTAACTCATGGGTGTGATTAAATATGTGAGTTAGTGAGCTATGATGAAACACAGAGATGCCTTCAGGAGCTACTGAGGTATATTTGGCTACTTGCTTAGTTAATAAGAGGAGGTATCATGTAGTGATTAAGAGTGTGTACTCTGGAGCCAGACTCCCTAGTGTTTAATATCTGGGCTTTTGCCTCCAAATTATATTGTGACCCTTAGGAAGTTATTTAACCTCTATGAGCCTATTTACTCATCTACAAAATGGGGATACTACAACCTTTCTCATAGAATTGCTATGGAGTTCAGAATGAGGTAACATATGTAAAGTATTGGAACATCGGTACATGACTTATAAATGCTATCTTTAATTTCTTATTTTTCTGATGCCTCTAAGACATCTAGTTAAGCATTTGGACATAGAAGTTTGAATAGAGATGAACAGGTTTGAATTACATGGACTTATAATTATGGGGAATTGCTAGAATATAGCTGGATGCTAAAACTAGAGAACCAATTGAGGATATTTATGAGGAAGATAAAATATATGTGAGTGTGTATGTATGTAAATGTACATATGTATGTCTAAACAAAAATAATACTAGAAGCAGGCCAAGGATAGACCAGATAAAACAGAACACCCAAGAAGAGAAGAAACACATGAAAAAGAGAAAAGACAAAAGTAGTCAGAGAGCAAGGAGAGAATGGGGCCCATAAAGCCAAAGGTAGTAAAATTTTCAAGGAGGGAGGTGATTAATAGTGCCAAATGATGAGGATTAGAAAAAGGCCATTGGATTTTGAAATTAGAGGATCACTATCAACCTTTTTAAGAACTGTGAAAATGTTGAGTTGTAAAAGGTAATTTAGGAAATACAGAAAACAAGTACAGATGATTCTTTTAGAGAGTGGGACTATAAAATAAAAAAGGAAGATGAGAGGCTAGTTTGAAGATTAATAAAGATCAAAAGGTGTTGTAGTGTGGGTGAGAACTGAGAATGCTATTAAGCTGAAGGGAAGTCAATTAAGAGAGAGCATATGAAGATATATGATTTATTGTCTATCTGTTTCTTAAACTATTGAAGATAATGAAAATCCTATCACATGGACAAAATTTCACTTGAAAGATGAGCTAGAAAACCTCTGTGAGAAGTTAATAACCTGTTTTAAAATAAAAAAAGAGAAAAATGCATATAGTTGTTATTTAAAAATATAATTAGTGCTGTATTTTAACAGAATTACTTTTTCTATTTCTGTAATATCCTGAGACTTCTCAAAATGTTATTATAGTCTCAGAAGTAATTCTGTTAAAATACAGCACTAATTTTATTTTTTAAACAACAAATTCCAACTTTTGGTTTTCATTCTGTATTCTGAATATATTTTTGAACTTTTAGATGATATTTTTTAAATCACATGAAATAGTCCAAATAAATAAACCCACGTCACAATTCTTATGAGAGTCATAGGCTCTGTATATAACAAATTACTAATTTTTAGCTCATCAAAATAGGACATTTCAAATTATGATTTGCATATGTTTGCATCTATAATCAGTATTCAACAATTTCTTGAATATCTAGCAAGATGCTTATAATTCTTCTATATGCTACCTGTCAACAATTTGCCACTTTATCATTCTATTCAGTCCAACTTCTTGAAGGCTAGCAATTGTCATTCCTATCCCATTTGTTGGGGTGAACTACTCTGTGGAGGGGTGTCATTTTAAAGGTCAGAAAATGCAGTATACAAATGTTGCATCAAAAAGACCTGGCTTCAAATTATAGTTCTACCCCTCAATAGCTGTGTGATTTTAAGTGAGTTATTTGAGCGAGTAAAGAATACTTTGAATATATCTAAAATACTTACTTTCTCTTAAACAAACTTTGCAAGACAAGTACAAACTCCTACAAATGACTGAATGCCAGTGAAATTTAGTTAGGTAAACCCAACTATAGGAACAAGAACAAAGATTCCAAGAACTCATCTAAAAAGTACAGTTTTCAAATCTTTCAGTAGAGATATTAAAAATTTTTGAGATAAATTTTATAATAAGTACATACAAAGGAAAAGAGTGATGTAGAAAACAAAGGCAAAAGAAAAATTAAATTTCCTTACTACTTGCAGCCCATTCACAAGTCCTTAAAACAGGCAGAGTGACATTCCTCTAAGAACTCAGCTGCCAGGAGGTTAATACTTTGCTAAACTCAGAAGGCAATCTTAACTGACCCCCAGGATGCTGTAAGTCTACTTTAAAATATAAAAATTCCTTTGGAAACTTCCTTTATCTCTACCCCCTCCAAGATACATGTTGACAATCATCACCCAAGCATATGACCCACTGAGACACATCTGAAGGGTCTCATGACTAAGGTTTTATCAGACAGTAATAAATGACCTTTTCCTAACAACAGCTAGCCCCTTCAAGGTCCTGGAAACCTTGCTTTCAAAATTCCTTAGAGATTTATGCTACCCTCCAACTTGAAAGTATATAATGGGCCACTCCCCTCAAGACCCCAGTGGAGGTCTTCCTGCCCAGGGGTTCTGTCCCCTTGCTTTAATAAAATCACCTTTTTGCACCAAAGACATATCAAGAATTCTTTTTTGGCCATCAGGCTTTGAACCCTAATATCTTTCCTACATCAACAGTAGAAGGAAATATCCCAACTATTAAAAATGTAATACATTAGACATAAAAGACAAACTGTAAAAGTTTATCCAAAATGATCATCACAGTTGGAGAAGTAACAATTAACAAAGATCCTTAAATATTTAAAGACAGATTATAGTTTTCGTAACACTACAGCATTCTCTTTGGACAAGCCAATTCATCTATCTGCTGTAGTTTCAAACTTTTGCAAAAAAAAAAAAAATACTAATACTTTATAACACAATAAAAAAGAAAATAAATTGTTTTACATCAGATAAGAAATTTTAACATTTAAACACTCACTACTAAATAATTTGATAAAATTAAATGTGGAACCATCTTCTCTTTGAGGAGAGAGCAGAAGGAAAGCTGAGGACAAAGCACAAGCTGACACCCCACAAATCCCCCCTCCCCCAGGTGGGTTATGTGTGACATTCCTCAGGCACTCCTGGCTGCCCTAAAGCTAAGGGAAGGAAAAACAAATGGTTAACTTATAGAGATTGCAGTCCTGCAAGACAAGAGTCTCCCTCAGTTTACAAAAGTCTTACTGATTTACAAGAAAAAAGCATTCTTATCAATAACCTAACTTCCAGAAGGAAATGCAGATAAAATTATTCTTATCAATAACCTAACTTCTAGAAGGAAATGCAGATAAAATTAAATGTCCTTATCATCTGCAGCCCATTGACAAATACTTGAGGCAGGCAGAGTATAATGTTCCTCCAGGAAGCTCCCAACTGTCCTAAAGTTCAAGCCTTGCTAGAGGGAAAAACACCTTTAACTTGACAATGGCAAGGCCTCCAGTATCTTGTAGGTCCTCTTTAGCATATGATATTTCTTTTGAAAAACTGCCTTTTCCTTATCTCCCCCACTCCAAAGTATATAATCAGCCACCCTTCACAACCCCAATGCAGCAGGTCTTTCTGCCCATGGGTCCTGTCCCCATGCTTTAATAAAACCACCATTTTGCACCAAAGGCCTCACAAGAATTCAAACCCACCAAACCTCACCTATATTCCAAAACTACATCATCTTTGTTGAATGATACTACAGGAGTTAAAAAATAATTCAAAAAGAGTTCCCCATGGTAAACAAAAGACAAAGATGAGCACTGAAGACCAAAAACCTGGTGTCAAATTCTTACTCTACCACTTACAAGCTGTGTCAGCTTAGACAAGTTATCTAGTCTCAATAAGCCTATCCATCTTATAAACAAAATGGAGATGATAATAGTGCCTGCACAGCTGGGTTGTTGTGAGAACTTAATCAGATAATATATGTAAATTAAAATGCTTAGCCCATGATCTCATACCATAAATATGGCCAATAAATATGAGTTCTCATCACTCAAGAACAAAGTTATCTTTCATAAAATGGGTCATTTCATGAAACCATCTAAGAAAAGATAGTGAGTTCTGTCATTTTCTAAATAAGACATTTAGGCTGGGTATACACAGAGCCATCAGAGAGACTCTGACCAAAGAATTGCAATTCAGTCCCCACCCTATTCTGGTGAGTCAGACTTCTGAATATTGTGTGAATGGTATAAAGATATGCTTAGATTTCCTAAATTTCTACAATAAGCCCAAAGATTTCATCAACATCTGTTAGGATAATACAATTGGCTAAACTGCTTACCCTGTTGTTCTGATTATTGGTAAAGCTTTAATTCCCATGGTTTATTTTATTATTTACTAAATTTCTTCCAAATATTAATGATAATCATACCATATTAATAGTAATCAGAAGTACTTTTCCTAATTTTAAACAAATTGTTATTCTAACAGATAAAACTTCTAGCTTTTATAAATGACCAAGCAATAGGAAGAATTTCATTTTCATGTTTCATTCTCTTTAAATAATAGCTAAGGAGTTGGCATCAGACAAAATGAGTACTTTAAATATAACCCCAGAAGCAACTTAAGACAAAACCAACTCACCTGTAATTGCAAAGCTTCATGATTTTCTAATCCTTCCACAATTGGTGAAAATCGTTCCCTATTATTTCTTTCTGCTGCAGTAGTTATAGCCCCTAAAAGTTTATCTAGACTATAGAGGGGGAAAAAAATTAGAAATGAGAAATCCATCTTACACACACATTATGAATATGGGTTATCTGCTTCTTTCAGTCTTATTTCCTTTCTGGCATTTGATGTTTATAGCGACCACTACACTTTAAGAGTTGTATTCCTATACACATATTTCTACAAGTCAAATATTGATAGCTTTAAATAATTTTAGGGCATCAAAATGAAAATTCAATTAAAAAGCCTTGAGGAAAATAAATTTCCTGGGTAACATTCTTTAAGATATTTAGTTGATAAACACTGAAATTTAAAATTCCAGGTTTGGTATTTCATGTGTTAGCATAAATATTAATAATCATTTAAGCATAATATGACATCTACTATTATTAAAATTTTATTCACATGTAAACTGATTTTATAATAAAGTACTAGGAAGAGCAAGTACATTTGAAAGAACTTAAAAAAATCAAGATTCTTTCAAAATGGAACAAGAAAGAAAAACTAAAAAAGAAAGTCTAGGTAATTAGAGAAGCATCTATAATTATCTAGCACAAAAAAAACTATTTACATAAACAAAAATATTGGTAACTATCACTATACAGTGTCTGAATCAAATTAACCTCTATGTAGTATACTGTGCTTATCAAACTGTAGCTACAACTATAACAAATATACCAGAATAGGTTGTATTATATGAATTAAGTACTGAAAATCCGATTGACAAGAAAAATATTTTTTACTCATGTATAAACTAATTTTTCTATAAAACCTAAGGAAATCTTACTTTTGCATATGTTATTTCATTCTTAGTTTGTTCTAAGACTTAATGCTTTCTGATAATATTTTTGTTTAGTGTTTGGCTTTTGATCTCTAAGGACACTAAGCAGCATTAAGCAATATCTCATTTTATTCTGATAGGTATGAAAAAGTCACTGTATTAGGATATTCTTAAATCTTTGCATGGCCCTATTCTGATTCAAATTGAAATTATTACTGTCACACACAATCTCAAAGAAATATTTTAGTATGTGATCCCCCTAGCAGATATTTCACTCTTTATCACAATGGTTCCATACTAACTAGGCTTATTAATGACATCAAATCTGAAATTTTGCTTCTCAGTCAATATTATTTTCATAAGAAGGTATGAACTAAGGTACATTCAGCAACAATCTGTTAAAATTAACACATACATGCACTCTGAATAAATGCAGTCTTTTTGTTCTTTCTTTTTAAAAGGTTAGTTTACTTCACTTTATACATAATTCATTTTTTCACTTATTACAGTAAGATAAAGTAAAATACTACTTTAAATAAAATAACAAAACAAAAGCATCTAGTCAATTCAGTGAGTTAAAGAAGTCAAATTTTGTGATGTGCACATATGGGGGATGTCTGTGTGTCTGTGTGTCTGTGTATGTCTTTGTATTGAGCCCATTTTCTAATGATTACTTTACCTTCAGCTAGATAAAATTCTATTCATTCATTTTACAGTGAAATGAACTTTGAAGAATTTCCCATTAGGGGTCTATCTATTTAAATCTGTTTCAAAAAAATTTTTAAGATGCTGAAATGTAAATAGATAAGATAAAATGCCAATAAATTATTTTCTAAAAGATGATAATATTTTCATGCAAGTTATCTAATGAAAACCACAAAATACGTAATTTTAATTTCGCAAGTGCCATTTTCTTTGCAGTTAACATAATAATACAGCAATGCTTACATGTTCTCTTCTCCAACAATGCAAATAGCAGAAAGTATTTTTACTATTTCAGTCATCATGTTGGGTTGTTTGGGATCAATTGCTCTTGCCAATAGCAAAAGACTCCTTTCATCTCCTAGAATCCTTTGCAATCCAAACTAAAGGGAAAAAAAAAAAAAGAATCTTCATTCAAAATGTATTTGTAACACATCTTTAATTTAAAAAGCAATTTATATTGATCTTCTAAAAACCTACACTTCCACAATGAGGTTCTACCTAATTATCTGAAATGTTTTTCAAATGCAGTTACTTATCTTTGTTTTTTTATTTTAAATGACTATATCTTGGAGTTTTTTCCCCTTGATCAGATATGATCTACATTAGCCTGCCTAAAAACTCTATAAAGATTTGGGAGAAATATGTGAACAATCAGTATTTCTTCGACAAAGAAAAACATGTAAAGTACATACTGATATGATTTTTTTTTTTAAGATTTTATTTATTTATTTGACAGAGAGAGAGAGAGCCAGCATACTAGCAGGGGGCACTGTAGAGAGAGCAGGAGAAGCAGGCTCCCCACTAAGCAGGGAGCCCATCTTGGGCTCCATCCCAGGACCCTGGGATCATGACCTGAGCCAAAGACAAACTCTTAACTGACTGAGCCACCCAGTCGTCCCCTGATACGATTTTCTTAAGAAATTCTACTTATGTCATTGGATCTTCCTGGAGACATCTGGAATCCATGGTTAAATTCTCCAATGTGTTTGTGTGTTAAATTAAACTGAACAAAAAGGGTAAAATGTTGTAAAGCTCTTTTGTATACTATATGCCAGTTAAAGAAGCAATAAACCTCTGTAGGTTTTCCCATACCATCTATTATCCTGCCCCTTTGAGAAGCTGTGCTGCATTACAAAAGCTATGAACCCAAGTAAATGGTGCCTGGGTTTTCGTAAGTGTCACAGTGAACTAGGCAGAGGAGACATCATTTTCATTTGTTTTCTAGGCTTGACTACGACCACAGAAGTGTGCATTATAAGAATGAATAGGTAAACAAATGTTTAAAAAAGGCTAAAACTTGGATTTTCACTATATTTAGAAGGTATTTTCTTTGACCTTTGTCCCAAAAAGTATTTCTCAGATTTCTTATGAAACACTTGCTTCTTTATACAATTTCAACAGTAAAAATCCAACAACATTTCATCAGATCAAAATTGTCATTTGAAGCTTAACTTTTAGTTAAGTACCAAATATATGATTATTTTCATGGTGCCTAATTTAACTTCCAAAAGAATTTGGGGAGAGAAGGAGAATATAGCTAAAGCTCTTAAATGTAACTTTACCAGAGGTCACAATAAATAATATATACAGAGATAAGGCAAATAAAAAAAGAAATGGAAGAGACAAGATTAAAAAGAAGCAAGGAGAACAGAATGGACAAGCATGTATAAAGGTGGCCAGTAGATACTAAATAGCAAGGAAAATAAGTGAAAAATGTATGTGTAAAACTAAGAGACAGGTTTACCATGCAATTACCAAACTTAAAACAACAGCTTTAAAAATCAAATAGACTGAGAGTAAAATTATTCAAATTTTCAAATTTTCATTTATAAGTTAAGAGTAGTTTCTAGTACATAGGGACATACTAAAAATAAAAATGAAATAAATAATGAAAAACCATAAATCTAAACATAAGAGCAATATTACAGCAATGGAAGTTAAGAGGCAATGCTTTGCTTTTGATCCTACTATGATCCTATTATTACATGTCTTGTACAAAGGAAAAGAGTTTTGTTTTGTTTTATTTATTTGTCAGAGAGAGAGAGAGAGAGTGGGGGAGAGAAGCAGCAGAGGGAGAGGGAGAAGCAGGCTCCGCACTGAGCAGGGAGCCTGACGCGGGGTTCGATCCCAGGACCCTGGGACCATGACCCCAGCCGAAGGCAGACGCTCAACCAACTGAGCCACTCAGGCGCCCCAGGCAAAGAGTTTTTGAAGAAGGTAATCTAAATTCCTTGGAGCCAACAAATGTTAAGTTTAAGTAATTTCAGATGAAAGTTTCATGCTTTATGACAATTTATTCCAACATGAAGGGGATATATCACTACATATTTTTTTTTAATTTTGAATGTATACTACAAGCCTATTGTTTCACATGCCTATAATTTAAAAGATTCACCATTTACTCATGTTCTGAGCACTTATATGCAAGATATTAACATGTCCTAACTACAGGTTAACCTTAGTTTAGAATAATATAAGTCAAACCATCATGTTCTTCCAAACTGCCAAACTCTTAAGTAAAAGTAATTATGTATTCACATATCAGCGTATGTCCTATCACAAAAAGCTCTACAGGAAATCTCACTACTATGACTTTCTCTATTGACTATCTTGGTTATAGATATTTAATAACCTGGTAAGCTATGAGAATTGACAATGCAAGTCAATAAGAATTTAAAACAAAGACTCCTACAGCTAATTTTACAGATGAGGGGATTGACAGCCAGAAACTTCAAGTGCTTTTCCAAAGGCCACTCAACTTAGTGGTAAAGCATGTACTATATCTCCTGATTTCTAGTACTATACTGTTCTATTATTTCTGTTTCCCTCAACTGAAGAAAGAGATTCATCTTGAATTGTGGAGATGGAATGTTCATTAAGTGCTTTCTTGTTAAGAGATCAGATTCTGCATAATTCTGTTGCAAAACACTAAGGGCACAGAAGTTGAGAAATTCTGTATTAATGGTGATAGAAATCTTTCCAGAAGAGACTTCCAGGAACAGTGCAATTAGTATAGTCTACACAAAAGTCTTATGTCCACTAGCAAGCATCCACTCCACATGCCAAAAATCCTTTGCTGATACATGTGTGCATAATATATAAATATATACAATCATATATAATCCCATGTTTAAGAAAGACTGTTTACAGATTAGACAATCTTATCACATTATTTTTTTTTTTTAAAGATTTTATTTATTTATTTGAGACAGAGAGAATGAGAGAGACAGAGAGCACATGAGAGGGGGTAGGGTCAGAGGGAGAAGCAGGCTCCCTGCCGAGCAGGGAGCCCGATGTGGGACTCGATCCTGGGACTCCAGGATCATGACCTGAGCCGAAGGCAGTCGCTTAACCAACTGAGCCACCCAGGCGCCCTTATCACATTATTAATAGCTGTATATATTATATTAACAACTATATATCTGGCCAGTTTTTGGTTATTGTTATGATTATTTCTAGTAAATATTTTGAGATTATTAAAACATCATCTAAAGAGAATTATACAATTAGTGAATTAGTGGTATTTTACGTTATAGGAATATAGAAGAAATCATGTCTAATACAGTAACAAAATTGTTTATAGAAAAAACACCTATAGGGTGCCTAGGTGGCTTAGTCGGTTAAGTGTCTGCCTTTAGCTCAGGTCATGATCCCAGGGTCCTGGGATGGAGTCCCTCACCGGGCTCCCTGTTCTGCAGGGAATCTGCTTCTCCTTCTGCTCCTCCTCCCACTTATTCTCTCAATCTTCTCTCTCTCCCTCTCAAATAAATATATAAAATCATTTAAGGGGTGCCTGGGTCACTCAATCGGTTGAGTGTCTGCCTTCGGCTAAGGTCATGATCTCCAGGTCCCGATATGGAGCCCCACACATTGGGCTTCCTGCTCAGCAGGGAGTCTGCTTCTCTCTCTCTCTCTCTCCCACCCCTCCTTCCCCTCTGCCTCTCCCCACTGCTCCTTCTCTCTCTCTTAAATAAATAAAATTTTTAAAACATAAAAAGTTTTTTAAAAAAGAAAAAGAAATAGTAACTATAACATCATAACTTCAGCACAGATTATTTTTTTGAAGATTTTATTTATTCATTTAAGAGAGAGAGAGAGCGCACGTGCGTGCATGTGCACGTGTGGAGGGAGGAGCAGCAGGGAGTGAGAGGGACAAACAGACTCTGTGCTGAGCAGGAAGCAAAATGCAGGGCTCCATCTCAGAACCCTGAGATCATGACCTGAGTGTAAATCAAGAGTCGGACACTTAACAAACTGAGCCACGCAGGCACCCTGAGCAAAGATTATTTTTAGGAAAAAACCCTTGTCTAGAATTCATAAAGTCTCTAATACTGCATCTGGTATACATATACATAAAAACCCTGCAATCTTCCAGGAATGTCTTCTATGTATATTAACTCACTGATATTAATTAAACATAAAATAGAAATCTTAACTTTATAATGTTCTTAGCAAATAAGTCAAACCATAGCTTTGAAATTCCCTTTTCAATGAAATAAAAACACTGTAAAAAATGGTATTCAACATAAAATATTTAACCATGAAAGAAAAAAAAAGTATCTAATTTGGCAACAGACTTATGTGCTTCCATAATTATAAAAACGTACCAATAAATATATTGTGAAGCAAAGTATATTTTAAATAATATTTTGATGAAACATATGATGATTTGCATCATAAAGACCCTTTGAAAACCAAATAAACACCTACTATACTGTTTCATACTTTCATATACTGTTGAACAAGCTCTCACCTTTTGTGACAGGCAGAAATAACTACTACTTACCTTATTATTCATAAATGCTTTGAGGCACTGAATAAGTTTATACTGATTCTTCTTGTCTATATTTTCTTGCCTGAATAAAGGGGAAATAAACATGTTATGTTGTGCTTAAAAATTTTTTAATTTCCCCTTCAGTGATATTTTTCATGTTTATTCTTACTGTTTCTTGTCCAGAAGCTTTTCCAGCACATCCAATAAGAGTCCAAGACCTTCATGGCCAAAGTTGTTAACCCAGCTATGAAACAAACAAAAAATATGTATAAATAAGTTTCTATATTTAAAACATTAAGTATCCAAAATGAAATTTTCACTTTTTAAGAAACTGCTTTCCAAAGTGGTTATCCAATTTGGCATTCTTTCAGGAAAGTGTAATAGCTCCATTTAATCCAAATCCTTCCCAAAATTTCACACTGTCAAAATTTTTTTTTGAGAGAGAGAGAGAGCGCACACATGCGTGCCCGTGAGTGGGGGAGGGCCAAAGGGAGAGGGAGAGAATCTTAAGCAGGCTTTATGCCCAGTGCAGAGTCCAATGTGGCACTCAATCTCATGACCCTGAGATCATGACCTGAGCCAAAATCAAGAGTCAGACACTTAACCAACTGAGCCACCCAGGCGCCCCTCACACTGTCAAATATTTTTTTTAACTTTAGCCATTCTGAAAATTGTTTCCAGATAAACTGAGAAGCGAAGTAGTAAAGTAACTTGCCAAACATCACTCAACAAGTATCAGTTCTAGGGTTCACATGGCTAAATCCAAAGCCCGTATTTATTTCAACCATACCACTAGAAATTACTAATAGGACCAGAAAATGATTTTCTATAAAAACATCTGCTTATGGCTCTACCAATATTTCACTGAAGAATTAGTGGTTAGTTCCAGAACTGCATTGAGAATCAATCTATCTATCTATCTATCTATCTATCTATCTATCTTATATACGTATATACATGTGTATATATATATATATCTTATATCTATATCTATGTCTAGACACACAAACATATGCTCTGCTTTATTTAACAGCTTACTTCATTCATTTAGGTGTGATAAGTATTTTCAGTCCATGCTTTTATTGAATTTTAAAGTTCTAAGCTTTATAAGAAATCTACTAAATACTGTTAAGGAAAGGAATCTGGAGACTCCAACTAAAACTTCCAATTGAGATTTAGACAGCTTATTGAAAAGAATAAGGCCAGAATGTAGCTTATACTTTTATTTTTTTGGATAACCTAGTTTACAGTCTCACATTTTAGGTATTAACATATTAGTGATTTTATGTTATTAAGTTACCTAAGTCAAAGAGTTGTCTTGACACACTATACATATAAGATAATGTTTGTTGCCATTACTTGTGAGGGTGCCAGGTGTAACAAATAAACCAACAAACAAAAAGAGTAGAAAGATCAGTCAGGAGGATTCATTTATAAGTGAGCAAGAGGTCAGGATTAGATCTGAAGAATGAAAAAGAAGCCAGGAAGATTATCTGGGGAGCAAGAGAACAAACCTGCAATAGGGCAGTATCTTCTGAACTTATGGCGTGGCTATACCCATCAGGGAGTCCAACATCTGGTCCAGGGTTCAAGAAGTTAAAAATTAAAGACCCTTCCTCAAGTTTACTCAAAGATCAGAAAAATATCCCACCATCCATCAATGGAACATGCTGTAAGACCACATAGTGGCATGTTCAAGTGCATAAGTTTTAGAAAAAGACAGATCTAGGATCCAATCACAACTCTACCATATTCTAGTTGTGTTATTTTTGATCAATTACTTAAACTTTCTGAGCCTATTTTGTCATCCTCAAAATAGGGATGAAAATAGTACCTATACCCCAAATGGTCTTTGTGACTATTAAATGAAATAATGTACATGAAACAACAGAGTGAAGCCTGTATTAAACTTCTGAATGTGTTAAAAACCAAAAACTTCATTGCTCTTTGAATGTTCTAGTCCAAATTATAGTATGAATTTTAGGCATAAAGTAAAGACTCCTTTTCAATAATATAAAAACTTAATAACATTTCATCATTCATTTATTGAAAAGCAGTTTAATTGCTATGAAATATGTAGAGGAATCTAAACAGACACTACACTTTTTCCATTGATGGATTTTTAAAAAAAGATTTCATAATTTAAATATTTGATGGGGTGCCTAGCTGGCTCAGTTGGAAAAGCATGCAACACTTGATCTCGGGGTCATGAGTTTGAGCCCCACGTTTGGTGTAGAGATTATTTAAATAATTTTTCAAAATTTTTAAAATAAATACATAAATATTTGATACTCATATTGCCTCATATGTTTAACTTGTTACTATTCAACTTTGCATATATTTATTTTTCATTATATTTAGTGCTGGCTAATTCACATTGGAGCAGACATGGAAATTACAATGGTAAGAGGAAAGGGAGTATGGAGAGAGTGAATCTATTTATAGTTCATGCATAATCCTGACAAGGAATTATATCAAAATATATTAAGATTTAAAACAGAAGTCTATCCCAAGCCTCCACAACTACTGAGGTCCTTGTTTTTAAAGGTCCCGCTTATACTAATCAGCATGATCAAAGGGGGAAAAAACATATTTAATAAATATAACAGAGGATTCCAAGAGAAAGCAAGATTCTCCCCACTTCTAGCTCTACAGGTCAAAAAAAAGTAAGGAAAACTCTATAAATGTACCTATTGTATGACAGAATGAGATTCTGCTCTCTCACACATACATGTAAAGGAAAACCCTTCACAATTTCCCAAAACTTCAACCTTCGATATATAAATTGGAGATTCAGAGTTGGAATTATTTAGTTATAGTTCATATAAATATAACTTAAAAGCAAAGATTTAGTGGGTGGATGAGTTCAGTACATTCTATACATTACAGACATAATAAGAAATAGTGACTGCACTTATATTGATGAATAGATTGTCCAGATTTATGTAGGTCTTTCAAAGGGTTAATGCTAAAATTACCAAGTTCTATCCTGAGTCCCATAAGCTTTAAAGGCAGTTGGTCTCATGTGCAGGAGTCCCATATTAGTCATGTCATCCCTTTATCAGTTTGTGCACTGCTAAAGGCTAATATAAAGAGTTATGTGTTCTGTACAAAGAATTTTATTTCTCTCTAATGGTGTCCTATTCCCATGTGTAATCTCATACTACAACCCAAATCACTGGAATATCAATAAAATGAATGATAGCTTAGAGTTTCTTGGGGGAATTCAGAATGTTGGTAAAATTACAAAACATGAAACAACTAATTCCAAGGGTTGTGGAGACATTAAAGATGATTGTAAATGGTGTGTACACATTTTAATAGCAGGAAACATCACATTTTATTTTTTAACTTAAAATCAATTTAATTAACATATACTGTATTATTAGTTTCAGAGGTAGAATTTAGTGATTCATCAGTTGCATACAACACCCAGTGCTCAGTACCCTCCTTAATGCTCATCACCCACTTACCCCATCCCCCCACCCACCTCCCCTCCAGCAACTGTCAGTTTGGGAAACATCTCATTTTAGTATCAATGTTTCCAATGTAATGTTTCTGAATGCAATTAAAACCAAACTTTAGTTATATGCACTTATGAGAAAGAAAAAGAGCCCCAAGGTGATAAAGACCAATGTACTACCCAAAGCAAACATTATCATACATTTAGTCCACGAATCAATAATCTCCAAACAGTAGCCAAGAAGTATTTTTAACATTTTTAAAGTATATTTGTTCAATTAAATCAACTTCATAAATAATTCCACTATCAATATATACATCTGTTAAAAAATAAAATGTTAACAAAAACAACATGGACTTGTATATGCTATGACTGTCTTGGCCTTAATTCAATAAAAACATACATATCCACTTAGGTTTGTCTACATGAAAGTAACTATGACAGACTTGAGCACTTGAATGTCCTTGGAAATATTCATCATAGTAGATTAGTACATAAACTATCTCTGCCCAATTTTAATTATTAGATGTAGTACTGCCATTTCCAGACATCTGTGCATATGACATTCACTGACCACTTATTTCACCTGATTCATAGAAGGCAGACTATGTTAATTTTCCAGCTCTGCCTCTCCATGGTTTTGACTTCAATGTTGAGCTAGACTATAATTTCCTTTGAAAACACCAAAAAAAAATTCCATCTTTCTCTCTATACTCTGTTATTAACTTAAAAAGGGTTTTATCTGGCTGCATTTATTCTCCCTATCAGGTCTCACTAGGAAGGTTCTGCTACACAGTACTCACACATTTTCTAAGAGTTCCTCACAAAAGAGGAAATGTGTTCTCTTTCTAGTTGTTTACATAACATAAAAACAAACTTCTTACACGTTTAGAACAAATTGTAAATGTCTGAGTTACATATAAAAATCTCCTGAGGGAAAGTAAAAATTCTCTCTCAAAAGATAAAAATTCCTTATTCATTAAAATCAATTTAAGATCTCAAAATTACTTTGGAGATAGTCAAAATGGCTTAAATCCAAATCTGTTAAATTTACCAACAGGTTATAGAACAAAGAATATTTTCTTCCCCATCCCCCTTTAAAAGTTATTTTTAGAAAAACATAAGAGATCATCTTATCCCACAGTAATGATGAAAATAAAATCTGCAAATGTGAATGAAAATGAAAATTGAGTCTTCAATCAAAGAGAAGCAAGGGGAAAGAACATTGCAAATATTCAAGCAAAAGCTAGTCATATTTCAAATTCTCTTCATATATTTGAAATTGTAAATATATTAGGACACTTACTAAAGTCACCTTCTTAGTAATATCACCAGTCAAACTTATAATAAAATGTTAACTTCCACAAGAAAACTATATTGGTTGGGCGCCTGGGTGGCTCAGTTGGTTAAGCGACTGCCTTCGGCTCAGGTCATGATCCTGGAGTCCCGGGATCGAGTCCCGCATCGGGCTCCCTGCTC